GCTTCCAGATGCCTACCTCGCATTGCGCGTGCAGACCGAGGGCAGAGGTCAATCCCGGCAGAACCGACTTAATTACACTGTGAGCTGTAGATGTTTTCATTCCTTGAAAATGAGCCTTCGGGAGAGTTCGAAACGTCGGACAAATATGCTCCTGGTCCCAGAGAACGTCTAACCTTCTTCTATTAGTAAAGTATAATTTCAAGGTGTCCAGCAAAAAAGTCTTCTATTCACAGTGAAAATAGAATTGGGCACACAAACAAAAGAACACCGGGATCTCACAAATTCATAATGCTCAAACATTGCAATTGCCAACATCCTGCTGAATCTTCCATGAATAAGTCACAACATTTAGGGCAAAACTGGACTTCCTTCAAAACGGTGTTTGCGTCATGCGCTAATGACCACACTGTTGTAATTTAAATCTAAAATGAGGATTAAAAACGGGTTTATATTGGGCGCAATGGGCCAGCAGATGTATATATATAAGAAATTTATATGCAAATGTAGAACAGAGGTAAACAGCGACTCTGTTTTAAGAGCTACACGCAAAGAATATCTGAGCTTGCGTGACCCACTTATTATGAATCCGGGCACCCACTTACAGTCACCTCGACTTCCTCTGTATATTGGAATATGCTGTTTTTTTTTAGAATAGTTGGTAAAGTTTGGATATCACGCAAGTCTCCTTTATTACACGCGTATTCAAGTGTTAGAAAACACAGTGCTATCTTTGGTACGGCGGTTCTGGTCGTCTGCTTTGGCTGAACTACCTATCCTACTGGTTAAATAAATCAACTTCTGATGCCAAATTTTTTGCAATGCCTACAAACACATGAACCAGTCCTGGGGATTCACCCTGACATTGTAAAACCCACACTGTTTGGCAATGCGTGAAGCATGTGATTTCCATTCTTGAACGACCCCTTGTCAAGAATTTGTGCATTCATGTTAGTTTTCATCCCCCCCCTATGTCGACCTTCTCTGCTCCGATTCGAGTATTTGTTGATTTATGCTGCATTGCAGATCCCAACCAGCTGGTTGACGCCAACCAAGCAAAGGACCTCGAGCCGAATATGAAGGATCCAATTGCGTTGGAGAAGGCCCTCGAGGAACAGGCTGCTATGGAACAGCACGGCGCCATAATTGGATCCATCTCCTTGGGTCTTCTGATCGTGACTGTTATATGCATGGGTGAGCAAATTAAAATGCATGTTCATATAGCTGCGCATTAAATACGCCTGGATATCCCCGGCTCATTGCTTCATGTTTTCCGCGTAATTTTTTATGCAGAGTGTTGTGTTGAAGTACTGAGTCCGTTCCATAACCGATCGGTAAGCGCCTTTCTACCAATACACATATTTTCGATCGAAACTAGCAAGGCAATGAGCCATTGCTAAGTATCTAGGTTGCGGGTCTGACCTTATGGGGTTTCCATCCCTAGGGTTGGGTATGATTAGCTGCTGATTGCTAATAAGCCATAAGTGCCTATTCCAGTCTGCTTTGCCTTTGGTGGTTATGTATTTCTGCCTATAATACGGAGACTGG